GCGGCCGCGAAACCTGATTAGTACATGATTCACCGGCGAACGTGGATTTCCTTTCCTTGTGTTTTTCTTTGCAAAACTATGTCCAGGCGATCTCTCTTGTTATCAGAACAAGGGATCAAAACCTGAACATCGTACTTGCCAGAGCTCAATAAAAAATGAAATTCCCCGCAGAGCCTGCTGGAAGTTGTCCCAAAGGTTATCTGATTCCTATCACATTTTTTCTCTAAGCATGATCCCTTGTATGCCTTTCACACATTGCTGTAAAGGTAGCTAATCATCTAAAAGACTAAACTAACAACACTGACATTCATACATGTAAAGTGGTTTGACTCTGGGTGGTGGGCACGCGGTGTAATGTACAGATTTTTGTGTCATGGAAATGCACACATGTAACCTACACGATCCTACCAACCAATGTCACCCCCATGAATTTAATCCTTAAGTTATTTCAGTTGGCAAAATGAACTAAGAGAGATACACCGTTATAAACTGGCAACCTCATTCTGGCAACCTCACTGGCTAGGGTGCCTTATACATGTTAATAAGCCTCCAGAACGAGCCCCAGCACTAAATGACACACAAGCCTCATTTTGAAAACATCCTCATACAAAACGTTGAGGTTTCCTGGTTTTCTGTTTTCTCAAAGGCAGAGATGCCTGGAACTATCAGAACATCCCATCTCATCCCTCCCTCCCACCCCGACTCTTATAAATGCCCTGTGCCTCAATAGTTCCTAAGAGTACTACTTTGCTCTCTCATTCCGTAAATGAGACAAAGGTAGGTTTACAGTTGTTCATATGGAAAATAATACAATAAATAATAAGACAAGAATAAACTCATGTTTCGAGTAATCACAGCTGTGAACCTACTTTTGCCCCACCCTGTATGTGGGACTTGCGTGTCATCTCACCAGAAACTCTCAAGTCGAAACAATTCATTTTCGAGATTTAATGTGAAGAGATTGAATGTTAAATGTGCTACCACTACATTTAACTTTAAAATGAAAGTAAAAGGGGTTTGCTTTTTCCCTCTCAATTGTGAAAGCTATAGAAAAATAAGCAGACATGCTTCCTTTGATTGGAGTTCGACCCATCACCTCAACCTCAGGGCTGTAATAACCATGGAAATTATTTAAATGCTAATGTGACAGATGCAAGGAGGCCGATTCTGAGCCAGAAACTTCGTCAAGAGACACTGCAGTGTCTACAAGAAGCTACTGAATACAGCTCTAAGAGCACTGAGGAATCTATTCACATCAAAATGAAAAAATAAACCCTAACGGGCAGCGTACACTTGAACTTACTATGGGTAATATCCTACCTCCAAGCCCCAGGTACAAGGGAAAAGGGAAGTTCGGTACAACGCAGCGTCTCTAAGGGAAGGAAGTGCTCCAGGATTTAAGACCATGTGTGTTTAGGACAGCCCAGGAGTCATTTCTTCTTTAGGAGTAACTTTCTCTGGCCCTGAAGTGAAATGGGGAAAGAACTGGGGATGGTAAACCAAAGGTAACTGCCCTTCGCTGTCAAGACTGGAAAGAGCTTGCTGCAGGCAATCATGCTGGGATGCTTAGGCCTTGAGAAGGAATGAGGGGTGGCAAAAACACAAGTTTCACAAGGAGCTGGAAAAATAACGCTTTACGATGGTTCGAACAGAGGTAGACCGGCTTCCTTCATCTTTCAGGTCAAGTTCAGGGTTGGGGTGTGTTGGTGTGTGTGTGTGTGTGTGTGTGTGTGTGTGTGTGTTTCCTTTTGTTTCTTGATAACTTTTTCCTTTAAAAACTGTTTGCTGCAGTTTGGTGATGTAGTTCTCAGCCCCTGCCTTCCTCTGGTGACGCTTATTAACGGACTGGCAAAGGCTGGGCGAAATGCACTTAGGAAAGAAGAAATCACCTGTCCTTGCCAAGATGCACACGCTGCCCAGTACCTGAGCGAGAGAGAGCCGGCCAAGAGGAATCCCGGCTTAACCTCCACCTCCCCCTCCGAGCCCATGGCAAACAGCGGCGCGTGTGCCACTCGCCGAGGATCTGCCTGACTCACCCCCCCTCCCGGCGTGCCAGCCAGAGACGCGAAGGCTCCGGCGGCAAAGTGGGAGGGGAGGTCTCGGCGGCCCCGCAGCGCCCCACGCCCTCCTTGCTCGTGGGCGCGGGGAGGTCCCCCTCCAGCAGGTGCTCCGTCCCGCGGGGACCACCCAGGCTCCGGGGACACACGTGTCCCTGCGCCCGAGCCCGGCCCGCCGCGCGCGCTGGCCCCGCGGCCCCGGCCACCCCGGGGGCTCCGCGGAGGGGGCTCTGCCGAGGGGGAGCGCCGGGACCCCTCCAGCTTCTCCTCTCACCGATGAGAAGAAGAAACGGAAAAAAGAAAAAAGTACTTTTCTGCGGAAGCAGCTCCCGCACTGCCCCGGCGCCCAGGCGGGGGGATGCCCAGCCCGCGAGTGGCCTCCCCCGGCCCCCGGGGAGCGCGCCCGCCCGCCCGCCCGGCCCCGCCGCCCCCGCCGCGCTCACCTCCGCGGGTCCGGCTTCCGTCGCTCCTCCAGCTTGGCGGCCGAGTGCGGGGCTGCAGCGGCCACCGCCGCCGCCGCCTTCGCCGCCAGCCCGGCCGTGGTGGCCGCCGGAGCGCTGCCCGGGGCTGCAGGCGGGGGCCGCGGGGGCCCGGGCGGTGCGGGGCGCGGAGCGAGCGGGGAGCGAGCCGCCCGCGTCCGTCCAAGTCAAGTCACAACTTTGGCGCCCGGGAGGGTGCGGGGTGCGGGCTCCGGGCGCGGGGAGGCGGGGGCCGAGCGAGGGCGCTGGGGCGGGCGCGTCCGCAGAGCCGGCGGGACTGGCACCTGGACGGCCCGCGGGGACGGGGCGGGAGGGGGCGCGGGGGCAGATGCCTCCCCGGCCCGCGTGGTGCGCGGCGGGCGGGCGGGCGGGCGCCGGGGAGCGTCTCCTCCACTCCCTGCTCCGCTCCCGCACCCCAATCCGCGGGGCTCCCCGCCGCTCCCGCACCCCAATCCGCGGGGCTCTCCGCCGGGAACTAGCGCCGCAGCGGCGGTGCGCAGCCGGGCGCCCCTCGGGAGCCAACCGGGGCGCCGGGACTCAGGGGAAGCGGCCGCGGCGGAGGCTGTGCCACGAGCGCGAGCCCGCGATCCATATTTAAAGCCGCGAGCGGCCTCGGCCAGCCCCCTGCCCTGCCCTCGCTCGCGCCCGCCCGGCCCCCGCCGCTCGGGCCGCCGCTGGGCGTCACAGCCCGGGCAGCCGCGGCGACGGGGAGGGGCTTCGGCCGCGCCGCCTCCGCCGGGGGCTCGGGCTCCGCGCGCTGCGCCCGCCCGCCCGGACCTGGCGGGGTCCCTGCTCCCGGCCGGCCGCCCTCGCCTTCCCCGGGTCCTTCTCCCCGGTGCCCGGAGCGGACTGCTAGCCTAGCTTTCCGTCCAATCCGCAAAAACTCGTGCACAAGTGAAGTTGCTCGCCTTCCCCAGCCCCTCACCCCTCCGGAGGCTCCTTGGAAAAACTTGGGCAGAGCAGGTACAGAGAGGGCTGCTGGCACGCGCTGTGGACTGCGCTCACCTTGGCATGTCTGGGGTGAGCACGGGTCCCACCCAATCTGCCCTCGCTTATGTCACTGGTGGCTTCTGTCTTCCTCGAACAGTTTGGGAAACATCTTGAGCCATCATCCAAGGGAGTTTCGTGAGCATACCCAGGGACTATTGACGTATACTCCGTTCCCCGGGCTAATGAAGGAGGCTTAAGCGCCCTTTTGTCGAGCAAATAATGCTAATAATATATCAATGGCCCAGCCCGATGGCCATCAGTTAAGTAAAACATTAAACCCTATGAACAGACTGTCAACAAGGCCACCCCTGCTAGACAGTAGCCATTGGAACCACATGGCATGTATGTAGTGCAGAAGTCAATGACCAAACAGCGTTTTCAACAGCGCCCACCAAAACACAGAGAGGCCAAGATAAATAAACTTCCATGCTACCTGTTCCTGGTTCCAACTCTTTCTTCAGCACTAAGCTATAACTACCAAAAAATAAAAAACCTTAAGGAAAGGAATTTGGAGACAGAGGCTCTCTTTCCCGTTTTTTAAAACTGGAAGAAGCCCATTGTACCTCACAAGTGCTTGAGAAGCAGGTATAAGCTTGCATCTTTTTAAAACGCTGGCATGTTTAAAATCTGTGGTTAATGCTCAGAAGGCACTGGGAACCACCGGAAGCTGTCTCATGTCTGAGGTTAAAATGTATTCATGTCATGTATCTGGCGGTTGGCTGTTACATCTGGCTAACATGTATGTTCACACATTTTACATGATTCACTGCAGTGATGTGAGAGATTCAAAATAGAAGGTGTTTCTAAGTGTAGCTTTAAAGCTTTTTGCCTACATAGTTATATTTTGTTTTTAGACTAAAATTAACTTGCAGTCCCTGAACACACACAGTGAGCAAGAATCAGCAACCCCAAAGCAAGCTCATGGGCGAAAGCTACTTTTGTATTAAGAATTTGCCACGGCTGTTCAGCAGTTTTTCACACTGTGGATTATGTATTTCAACATAGCTGGCCATTTCTCGTTATAATCATGAGCCAGCCATGACTGGCCAGCATTGGAGAATGTTTGGGAAAGGAAAAGTCCAAGAAACGTATGCTTTTCAGTACTCAGATGCAACATATATCAAACTGTCCTTCCCATAAAAATAAATAGGTAATCCCTGGAGGCATTTCGCTATCAAGATTGGCAAAATTTTTTCCCTGAAAGGGGTATAAAGTTGGTGTGTGGAGTGGTAGGCAGGCAGAGAATGAGAGCAGGTGAGGTGAAGTGTTATGTGTGCCTTAAGTTAATGAGAAAAATCGCTGTCTTTGGCAAAGAGCCAACAAGCACTATTATCGTTCTCATTACCTGATGTTTGCTATCCCACAATTAAAAGAGCATGTTCCATTTTCTTTCCTATTGATTGTTGTCCAGTAATTGAGATGCATGTGTTTTGCCTTTGAAAGGTCATTGATTAACTTCTCTTGTTAACTCTGCATGTGGTCCCCTTTGCTAATGTCATTCCTGGTGAGGACAATAAATCCCAAGATCTTTTTTTTTTTTCCTATTCTAAAATTTGAGTTATGTCCCTTGATTCTCATGAGCCTAAAAGAAAGATTTATTTGTTCTTTTTGTCTAGGGTTCACACGACTTGGTGACAAGATGAATGAACAGAAAAAATTAATGGCATTAGAAAAACAGTGGAAGTAATCTTTACTGATAATGATTTTTTTAAAATCAATAACTCTGTGCTAAATGACCTTCTAGAACCCACCCACTACTTAGCTTATCAATCAAGTTTCTTTCACATCCAAGGTCCTAATCCGGTGCCCAAAGAAAGCAGAAAGATGGGGAGAAAGACCTTTGTTTCAACTACAAGCGCCACCTAGTGGCAGCAGTGGACGAAACCTGTCTCCAACAAGAAGAAAGAGGAAAGCTTTTGAATAGGCAGCCCAGGCATTTCTGGTCTTGCATAAACATAGCACTTTTTGATTCCGAAGTAGGAAAGTTATCTGTGGTAAAATAATACTACTAATAGGCACTGGGTTGATTTTTCAAAGTAATAGCTTACATATCTGACGGGCAGGATTATTGCCATGGCGAGTTTTCTCAATTTTTGTGTGTCTTTCTACAGTCACATCTCTGTATAACAAAGACCTCTGTAGTTTTGTACTTAAGGGCTTCACTATTTAAGTTTCTTAATTACATAAGATAAGGAGGGTGATGGGCTTGTCACTAGAAATTATCTAGAAAGCATTTTGTTCAATAAATAGCAGAACCCATAAATACAGCTATAATAAATGTGCCCCCCCATTACTATATTTTATTGAAAAAGAAAAAAAGTGAAAGATATCATTGACAGACTGGTGCAGTCATTGTGGAAACAGTATGGAGTTTCCTCAAAACCTTAAAAGTAGAAGACCCATTTGACCCAGTGATCCCACATCTAGGAATGTATCCCAAGAAACCAGAAACAGCAATCAGAAAAGATATATGCACCCCTATGTTCGTAGCAGCACAATTCACCATAGCTAAGATTTGGAAACAGCCTGAGTGCCCATCAGCAGGTGAGTGGATTAAAAAACTGGTACATCTGCACAATGGAATTCTACACTCCTTAAAAAAGAAGAAACTGTTCCATTTACAACAGCATGGATGGAACTGGGGAGCATTATGCTAAGCGAAATAAGCCAATCAAAAATAGATAAATATCACAGGATCTCACTCCTTGTGGAATATAATGAACAATATAAACTGATGAATAAAAATAGAGCCAGAGTCATAGAAGCATCAAACAGATACATCCAACCTAAGAGGGAAGGCAAGGGAGGGGGCAGAGGGTTAGAGATCAACCAAAGGACTTGTATGCATGTATATGAGCATAATCAATGGACACAGACAGTAGGGAGGTGAGGGCATGTGCTGGGGGGTGGGAGCTCCTGGGGAGAGGTCAATGGGGGAAAAGGAGACTTATGTGATACTTTAAATGATAAAGAATTTAAATGAGAATTAAAAAAATAAAGATATCATTGAACGTTTATCCTGGAGTTGTACAAAAGTATAACATTCATACATGTCTCATTTGGGGGCCTAAACAAAAAGGTGGCAATAGACATGTTATATCTCGTTACTACGAACTTCAAAGAATGATCAGGAATGTTTCTTACTATCAGCTCCTTTTTAAATACGTGGTTCCTTTGGTGGAAGTCTGAAAAACATTTTGCTATAGAGGATAGCGATTTTCTTTGTGCTGATATTTGTTTTGACTTATAGTTGTTATTAAACAATCTTGCAAAAGAGTGATCATTAAAGTTGCCACTTCGTAATTATTTTAGTCAACTACTGCATCATGATGTAAGAGTAAGGAATGGACAGAGAAGTTTACTTTTTCTCATCCTGGGACTAGCCTGGGATGAAGCTAAACACATAAATAGGTAAAGAGAGAGAGAGAGAGATCATTTAAATATCTCGTTTTTGTTTCATTTACACTCCAGAACGTTCATACCCAGCCTGACAAGCTCCTGAATAAGTTCAACCGACCTAGACTTAAAATCTATATTTATTCCTTCAAATCCCAGGTATAAAAATAACTGTAGCCCCTTTTCATGAGAAGAGAAAGAAGGTGAACACAGTTTTTGCAAGCTGTCAGCATGGCATGAGCTAGGAAAAATAATTTAATTTGGTTAAACAGGGGTTGTAAATTGCTTCACAGCTTAAGCTACCAAGCTCTCGACCATATGCAACTGTCTTTTAAACACATACCTACAGCCAAGCGTTAGGAGAGGCTCTGACTCCTAAAAGCAGGAGGCGATCCCTATTTGTGCTGAGGAAGACAAGTTACTCAACCCTCCGGGCCTTCGTTCCCACAGTGAAATCAAGGGGCTTAACGGCCATTGTACACATGCAAAATAAGAATAATTCTGACAGGGCACCGGCGTATTCTTCTCCAATAAAATGTGGCAGAGGAACATACAGGTCTTTCAGACAAGGTATTGACACATTCGTTATGAATGCTCTGCTGAGTAACCCGAGGCCAGGGTTTCAGCCTCTTCCTCCTACAGGAGTTCTCCCACGGATCAGCAGAGCCCAGGACACAGGCCTCCCTGTTTGGAAAGGAAAAGGAA